CCCCAAAACCCCAAAACCCCAAAACCCCGTATTATAAGCCAATTAAGCATTCTTGATTTAAAATTATAAAATAAGTAATGGAGATATAGTAATCACAAGTATAAATGCTTGAATATTAGGCGAACTATTTAGTTCTTTAAAATGAAAACTCTAGATTAGTTACAGCCTTACCATATATTGATGAGGCAATTAATGAGTCTCAAAAGAAGTAGGTGAATGGCTTAATACTACAAGAAATGGCTGCAATGGATGGCTAGAAGGATTATCTTGAAAAACTACCAATGCCATAGTTCAAATACTTGGTAAATTTAAGAGCTAATTGATTATTTCAGGAATCAGATATGATTAAATAAGAGATAGAAAGAGTTTCAAAGGGAATAAAACTTGATGTTTTAAAGGATTAGAAAACATATATCACATCTCAAGCACCACAGGATATTGCTAATTTGGATTCCTGGCGACAATCTATTAATTAGGCAAACATCAACTTTCAATATGCTGAAAATAGGTATTCGATTTGCAGCATATCATAATTTGAATAGGAGAATGAACCTTGAATTGGAAAAAGCTTATGGCAAGGATGTTTGGACTACTCATATAAAGCAGACAGAAAGTCAAATAGAATTCACAGATCAAAGAAATAGAAAGCTAGATGAAGAAATAGAGAGAATAAATAAGAAAAGGAGATTCACACAGATGAATGAATATGATAACTTCCTCAGACTGCACAATAAAACTTTTTCAGCATTGCATAAGAATATTGACCTCGAGTAGGAATGCTACAAACTTGAATAAGAGATTTCATAATATTAGAATTAGCTGCAAAAGATTCAAGTAAGATTAATTTATTGTAAAATAATGATAGAAATTGGATGAGGCTGAATTTATTAAAGGGAAAAAGATTTCTATGGAATAAACAGTTTAGCCAACAAGTATATAATGACACAGAAAAACATCCTCATCAAAAGTTGAAAGAGTATATACTAATATAATTAATTCAAAGATAAATGAAATTTCTACTTTCTCATATTTTTATAATCATGGGGTTTTGGGGTTTTGGGG